CTAGACACTTCCCCCCCCCACACCCAAAACCCACCACTAGACACTTCCCCCCACCACACCAAAACAACCACAAACCTTCCCTCCACCAAGTAAAAACACCACAAGCATTCCCTCCACCACCCAAAACAGCCACTTAAACCTTCCCCCCACCACAGTAAAACAAACAAGCATTTCCCCCCACCACAGTAAACAACAAATAGACACTTCCCTCCCCACCAAACAGCCATAAACATTCCCTCCACCCAGTAACACAACCCCTGCACTTCCCTCCCCACCAACACAACCACGGGGAAATTTTCCCCCACTACACCCAAAACGGCAACAGACACTTCCCTCCCCCCCCACCAACACAACCCCCAGACATTTCCCCCACCACAGTAACACAACCACTAGACATTCCCTCACCAAACCAAAACAACCCCAGAATTTCCCCCAACACCAACCGGAACAGAACTTCCTCACCACACCAACACAACCACCCCCACTTTTCCCCCCCAGTAACACAACCACCAAAACTTCCCTCCCCCAGAGTAACAAACCATAGACACTTCCCCCCACCACCCTAACACAACCACAGACACTTCCCCCCACCCCCAAATAACACAACCACTAGACAATTTCCCCCCACACCAACACAACCATAGACACTTCCCCCACCAGTACACAACCACCGACACTTCCCCCCACCCCAATAACCAACCATGACACTTCCCCCCCCCCGTAACAAACCATAGCACTTCCTCCACCCAACACAACCACTAAAACTTCCTCCACCACAGTAAAACAACCCCCCAGACCTTCCCTCCCCCACAGTAACACAACCACTAACACTTTCCCCCCCACCACGTAAAACAACCACTGACACTTCCCCCCACCCAAAATAACCAACCACTAGCACTTCCCTCCACCCCCAGTAACACAACCCTAACACTTCCCTCCCCTAACCAACACGGCAACTAACACTTCCCCCCCCACACCAACACAACCACCAGGGCCCTTCCCTCCCCACAGTAACACAAACCCCCAGACACTTCCCCTTTTCCACGTAACACAACACTAACACTTCCCCCACACCAAACCCAAACCCCTAACATTCCTCCCCCCAGAACAAACCCCTGCCTTCCCTCCACCCCACCCAACACAACCACTAGACACTTCCCTCCACCACACCAAAAAAACCACTAGACACTTCCCTCCCCCAACCAACACAAAACCCCTAACACTTCCCTCCCCACACCAAACCCACCCTAGAACTTCCCCCCACCCAGTAAAAACCCAACCCAAGACCTTTCCCCCCACCACGTAACACAACCCCTAGACATTCCCTCCCCCACACCACACAACCCTGACCTTCCCTCCACCCCCAACACAACCCTAGAACTTCCCCCCACCAAGTAACAAACCACTAGACACTTCCCCACACAAAAAACCGACCCTAAATTCCCTCCACCACACCAACAAAACCCCCAGACATTTCCCCCCACCCACCAAACCGACCAAAAAACACTTCCCTCCACCACCCAAAAACGACCGATAGACACTTCCTCCACCACCCAACACAACCACTGACACTTCCCTCCACCACACCAAAACAAAACCCCTGGGCACTTCCCTCCAAACCCCACCAACACAACCCCTAGACATCCCTCCACCACACCAACACAAAACCCCTAGACATTCCCTCCATACACCCAAAACAAAAATAACCTTTCCCCCCACCACCCCCAACAAACCCCTAGCACTTCCCTCCTCACACCCCCACAACCCCTAGACATTCCCCCACCCACCCAAAAAACCATAGACACTTCCCCCATCACACCAAAACAACCCCTGACATTCCTCCACCACACAACACAACCACAGCACTTCCTCCACCACACCAACACAACCACTAACACTTCCCCCCCACCCAACACAACCCTAACATTCCCCCCCCACACCAACACAACCCCTAGCCTTCCTCCATCACACCAACACAACCATAAACCTTCCCTCCAACCCCCACCAAACAACCACAGACATTCCCTCCATCACACCAACCAACCACAGACATTCCCTCCAACCACACCCAACAAACCACAGACACTTCCCCCCTCACACCAAAAAAAACCACAAAACTTCCCCCCACCCCCAAACCCAAAACCCAACCCTAGACACTTTCCCCCATCACACCAACACAACCCCTAGACACTTCCTCCACCAAAACAAAACCACTAGACACTTCCCTCTCACACCAACACAACCACTAGAACTTCCCCCACCACCCAAAAAAACCACTAGACACTTTCCCTCCATCACACCAACACAACCACTAGACACTTCCCTCCATACACCAACACAACCACTAGACACTTTCCCCCCACCACCCAACACAACCATAGACACTTCCCTCCCCCACCAAAACCCAAACCCCTTGACACTTCCCTCCCCACACCCCAAAACAACCCCTAACATTCCCCCACCCCAGTAGCAAACCCCTAGACACTTCCCCCCCCCCACCAAACAACCCCTAGACACTTCCCTCCCCCACCAACACAACCCGAACTTCCCCCCACCCCCCAACACAACCCCTAACACTTCCCTCCACACACCAACCCCAACCACTAGACACTTCCCTCCATCACACCAAAACCCCTAGACATTCCCTCCACCCACCAACACAACCACTAGAACTTCCCTCCCCCCACAGTACACAACCCAAAACCTTCCCCCCACCACACCAACACAAAACTAGAAAACCCTCCACCACACCAACCAACCATAGACACTTTCCCCCCACCACACCAAAACGACCACTGCATTCCCCCCACCACAGTAAACAACCACAAACCTTCCCTCCCCACAGTAACACAACCATAGACACTTCCCCCACCACAGTAACAAACCACAGACACTTCCCTCCACCCCCCCCCCAAAGCAACCCCTAGTCACTTTCCCCTTTACCAGACCAACAAACCCCTAGACACTTCCCCCCCCCCACACCAACACGACCCCTAGACATTCCCTCCACCACACCAACACAACCACAAGAAACTTCCCTCCCAACCCACCAAAGCAAACCACAGTCACTTCCTTCACCCGACCAACACAAACCCCTAGACCCCTTCCCCCCACCCACCAACACGACCATTCACTTCCCCACCACCCAAACAACCCCAAACAAATTTCCCCCCCCACCCCAAACCCAAAGAAACCCCTATTTATTCCCCTTTCCCCACCAACACAACCACAAACACTTCCCCCCAAAAGTAACACAACCCTAGACACTTCCCCCCCACACCCAACACAGCCACTAAACACTTCCCTCCCCCGTAACACAACCACTAGACACTTCCCTCCACACCAACACACCCCAAAAAAACCCCTCCCCCACAGTAACACAACCCCTAGACACTTCCCTCCCCACACCAACAAAAAACCCCTGACACTTTCCTTTCCATACAACCCCAAAACGGCAACTAGACACTTCCCTCCACCACACCAACACAACCACCAGAAACTTCCCTCCACCACAGTAACACAACCACAGAACTTCCCCCCCCCACAGTAACAAACCCCTAGGACACTTCCCTCCACCACAGTAACACAACCACAGCACTTTCCCCCCACCACGTAACACAACCATGACACTTCCCTCCATACATAAACAAAAACCCCTAGACACTTCCCTCCACCACCCAAACAACCCCCAGACACTTCCCCCACCAGTAACACCCACTAGCACCCCCCCACCCCAGTAACACAACCCCAGACACTTCCTCCACCACATAAAAAAAACCACAGCACTTCCCTCCACCACATAACACAACCACTAGACACTTCCCTCCACCACAGTAAAACAACCACTAGCACTCCCCCCCACCACAGTTTAAAAAAACCATGCACTTCCCCCACCACAGTACACACCGGGTCTTTTAAAAAATACAAGGTATCTGCCCTGCTTTTTTTATGTATTATTATTTGAGTAAAAACCTCTGTCCGGGTTACCACATCGTTTCACTGTCCCCCACGCTCCCCTCCTTTTCCCCCCCCTCTAATGGCATTTCCCCCCCCCCCCTCCCTCCCTCCCCCCCCCCCCCTTTCCCCCCCCCCCCCCCCCCCCCCCCCCCCCCCCCCCCCCCCCAAAATTGTTTCTTTGGGGTCTAAATGTAAAATATTATTTCCAGAGTTTTTTAAAAATTTTCCTAGAGAGCCAAAAAAGGTTTTTCCTCAATTGGGGAAAACGGCACCCTTTTAACAGATAACCTCACTTATGCAAGTGTTGTGTGTGTGCGACTGCCCCGCTGTAAACACTTGCAAATTTTGGCCGAGAGTTGCGAGATCCTGTTTGCTTGGGGTTTTCCACCCCCGTACACTGGTGATTAAAGCTCCTCTTCGTTGATTGGTTACAGTGGGGCAAGTGTCAGATCCAACATGCCCCCACGCAATACAAAAGTTGGCGAACACAAACGCAAGATCCGCCGCTAGCTCCGGATTGATCGTTGAAAAAAGCGTCCGGATCCTGTCTGGGGTTTTTGCGGCAGCTTTTTCCCTCATTTATCTCAGCGTTTTGGGTGTTATTGTTTTCTTCTTGGATCTTTTGGGGCATTTTAACGTTGTATGATATAAAAGGTGAAGGGTTTTTGGGGGATGTGGGGGTGCGTGGGGTTTGGGGGGGTGGGCGGGTGGGGGGCTAAAGGGGGGGGGGGGAGGTCTCGGAGGTGGGGAATGAGGCAAGCACAGCACTTCAGTATACGGGTGCAAGAGACAGCGGTGGGATGCGCGCTCTCCTCCACGCCCCTTTCCCTGGCGGTGTTGTGGGGTGTTGCCGGCCCCACCACCCCGAGGCCCAAAGTCTGTTCCCCACTCTAAACCCCGCCTATATAAAACTTGGAAGACACCAAAGGGGGTGATCAGCGAGCACCGCTCCCTCACCTCCAAGATACAGCTGGAATGTGCTGAGGGGTGGTCGCCTCGAACAAGTTTCGGGGGTGGGGCTTCTAAGCAGGGGGCGAGGGTGAGCACGAGCGCCTTTCCCAGGCTGTGGCACAGATCACGGCTGCCGTCAAGGACATGGGAGAGCACAACCTCCACATCAAGAAGAAGGTCCGTAAGATGTCCAAGGGCCTCAAACGCAACTCTCACAACCGTAAGATCAAGGACGGGCTTAAATCCCTACAGCGAGACCACCAGCGCATCCTGCACGCCATGAGTCTCAGTGGCATCAACATTACTCGCATCCACAACCATACCCGCAAACACAACCTCACCCACCCGCACACACCCGCGCACAAGAAGGATCACGGTCGCAACCGCAAGAATCACGAGGCCAGCGTCGTCGAACTTACAACCAAGGCCGCGGAAGTGCCGCAGGAGACAGTCCGCCCGGATAAGGACCACGAGTTGAAGAAGCCGATGGAAGAAGAGACAGAAGTAACAGACAACTTGATCCCAGAGCTGGTGGTCGACCCCCCCAGCGCCACTGATCCTCCACTGCCCGTCGACTGCACCGAAGTGATTCAGCGAGGCAACTGGACTAGCGGCGTCTACATGGTGCAGCCCAAAGGTCTTCAGCCTTTGAAGGTCAGTGACGCCACCAGTACAACACAGAGCAACCTTTCTATGTTTAATTCTTCCTCCTCGCAGCACCATCGATGACGATGGTCTGTGCCTTGAGGTATTACTAAGCACTATCTCTCTCTTATTTCATTTTATATGAAGCGATAGTTTTCCAGTTTTTTACCCGATGACAAATGCAACACTGAAAACAGTAAAAGTTGTGTTGTATCCGCCTGTATTCTGAAGAAACACTTCGGTAATAGACACACTAAAGTGTTGCACATATGTCAGTATTGTATACCATAACATGAATGCTGTTGTTGTTCTAACTTGGTGTATCTTCAGATTGGTGAGAGTTATACTGTTCTCGTATGTGTCGTGGCGATCATTACCAGCCCAACAGGCCAGAGAGCAAGTCGAGATTAACGAACGCATGCTCGAGCTTTAAGGTATTCCCGGCGCTGAATGACCCACATGGGTTTAGCGCTTCATGAATCATAATACAAGCTGTGTGGTGAGACCTGATGGAGGCAGCTCATCTCTCGCTCCCCACACGTGTCTGGATGAGCTCTGGTACAATATACGACACTAGAGGAAGAAAAGGCTTGTGACGTCCCGGTCAGTGTAGGCAGGAGCGAGTAAAAGGCACAGCTGTCACTGTTGACGTGCTGTCTACACCAGCAGTGACCGCACCTCAGAACACACATACACACACAGTGCTTGAAGCAATTCCACTTTACTATGTGCAAACATACCACAGCAGGTCGTCACCGGGAAGTGGAGCACGCCAAGTAACCAACACAGAGAGTCCAGTAACAAGCGTAGGGGGGTCCAATAACAAGCGAATGGGGGTCAGGTAACAAGCGTAGGGGATTCCAGTAACAAGCGTAGGGAGTCCAATAACAAGCGTAAGGGGGTCCAGTAACAAGCGAATGGGGGGTCAGGTAACAAGCGTAGGAGATTCCAATTACAAGCGTAGGGAGGTCCTGTAACAAGCGAATGGGGGTCAGGTAATAAGCGTAGGGGATTCCAGTAACAAGCGTAGGGGATTCCAGTAACAAGCGTAGGGAGTCCAGTAACAAGAGTAAGGGGGTCCAGTAACAAGCGAATGGCGGTCAAGTAACAAGCGCAGGGGATTCCAGTAACAAGCGTAGGGGGGTCCAGTAACAAGAGTACGGGGGTCCAGTAACAAGTGTACGGGAGTCCAGTAACAAGCGTAGGGGGTCCAGTAACAAACGTATGGGAGTCGGGTAACAAGTAGAGGGGGTCACATATGCGAAGGGATCAGGTAACAGGTGGAGGTGTCAGGTACAAATAGAGGGGATCAGGTAACATTAGCTCTCCTGTGTGACTTTCATTAGCTCTCCTGTGTGATGCTCACTAGCTCTCTTGTGTGGCTTTCATTAACTTTCTCACGTGAATTTCAGTGGCTTTCATTAGCTTTCTCGCGTGGCTTTTAGTGACTTTCATTAGCTTTCTTGCTCGGTGACTTTCATTAGCTATATTGAATGGCTTTCAGTGACTTTCATTTGCTTTTAAGTGTGGCTTTCACTGGCTTTCTTGCTAGCACTTGTTTAGGTGGTTGATATCTGAATAGTCGTAAAGTTGCTGTTTTGGGGCTAATAACTTAATATTTATTGAAGGATTAATTCCCAGATAGACGATATTTTAAGGCAAAAACCTGAATAGTTGTTGCTTTAATGATATCTGAATAGTTGTTATTTTAAGGATAATATCTGAATAGCTGTTCTTTTAAGGATAATATCTGAATAGTTGTTTTAAGGGTAATATCTGAATAGTTGTTGTTTTAAGGTAAAAACTGAATAGTTGTTGTTTTAAGGGTAATATCTAAATAGTTGTGATAAATTATTTAAAAAACCGACAAGTTGAAGATTTAGACACTTATGCAACATATGGGAATCTTTATTGAGGAAATGTTTCGCCACACAGTGGCTTCATCAGTCCAATACAAATCAGAAGGGTGTAAGGAGAAGTGGAGTTTGTTTTATGGACTGAACACATCAACTCCAGGCTAAGGGACTGATTACCTCAAACTACTCTTCTCCTTACACCCTTCTGATTTGTATTGGACTGATGAAGCCACTGTGTGGCGAAACGTTTCCTCAATAAAGATTCCCATATGTTGCATAAGTGTCTCAATCTTCATCTAAATAGCTGTTGTTTTAAGGGTAATATTTGAACAGTTGTTGCTTTAAGTGTAATATCTGAATGCTTGTTGTTTTAAAACTAATTAGTTGTTGTTTTAACGGTATATCTGAATAGTTGTTTTAAGCGTAAAATATGAATAGTTGTTTTAAGGGTAATGTCTGAATAGTTGTTTTAATGGTAAAAAGCTGAATAGTTGTTTTTAGAGAAATATCTAAATAGTTGTTGTTTTAAGGGTAATATCTGAATAATTGCTGTTTTAAGGGTAATATCTGAATAGTTGTACATTTGGAGCTGATACATGAATAATTCTTGTCTTGGAGGCTAATAAAAACATAAGAACAAAGAGGAACTTCAGCAAGCCTACTGGTCAATACTAGGCAGGTCCATCTGAAACCCAAAGCCTCTAACAAAAATATGTGCCTATTTTCAATGCTACCCAATGAATAATCTTTGATAACCCTATTAACTCACGTGCAAGTCCCACTCTAATCCAGTCTCTCTCACTCATGTAATTTTTTAACCTATATTTGAAGCTACCCAAGGTTTTAGCTTCAGTAACTCAACTAGACTGACTGTTCCACTCATCGATTACTCTGTTTCCAAACCAGTGTTTTCCTTCATCCTTTCTAGATCTAAACTTGTCCAATTTGAATCCATTATTTCGTGTTCTTGATTAAGAAGATAATACTTGAATATTGGTTGTTTTAAGGATTAATGCTTTGGAGGCTAATGCCTGAATAGTTGTTTTGGGGCTAATGCCTGAATAGTTGTTGTTTCCGGGGATAAAATCTGAATAATTTTTGTTTTGGCAGCTAAAAGCTGCATAAAATTGAATAATTGTTGTTTTATCTTCTAAAATCTGAATTGTTGTTGCTTTGGACTAATAACTGAACAGCTATTGTTTTGTGGGAGTAATAGCTGAATAGTTGTTTTAGGACTTGTTAAAATTATTACTGTTTTAGGGACTAATATTTGAACAGTTGTAGTTTTGGGGGCTAATATCTTAATAATTATTGTTTTGGGAATAATACCTGAATAGAAAAAGACACTTATGTACAGTTCAGGACATTGATTAAAGGAACACTATAAACACTATAAGTAACACTATAAAGCAAAAATCCGGTAGTTACAGTATCTCAAAATTGCTAATCAACAGGATATTACCCATTCTGGAAACTGCTGTTACATGATGTAAGCAGGTCCCTCTCTAGCCGTCCTCTCACCTCCTTAGTTCCACTACTACTACTACTACCACCTCTACCCACACGACACTTCACCTGACTCCTGCCACTATTTATACGCGTTTTCTTAGTTTTCTCTATATTAGGACTGAAGAAGCCGCTCGTGGCGAAACGTTTCCTTTAATAAATGTTCTGAACTGTACATAAGTGTCTTTCTCCACATCTTGTTGGTATCACCATATCATTTCCTCAATACCTGAATAATTGTTGTTTGGAAGCTAATACCAGAATAGTTGTTGCTTTGGGGATGATACATGAATTGTTATTGTTTAGGGCTAATACCTAAATAGTTATTTTTGGGCTGATACGTGAATAGTTGATGTTTTTGGGGCTGATACCTGAATAATTGTTGTTTATGGGACTAATACATGAAGGTATTTTTTTTTATCATCTAATACCTGAATTGTCATTTAGAGAACAAATACTGAATATTTATCGTTTTCTGGCTAATGTCTAAATAGTTGCTATTTGGGGGCTAATACCTTATTGTTGCTAAAACCCGAACATATGTTGTTTTGTGGACTAATATTTGTACAGTTGTTTTGGGGATTAATATTTGAACAGTTGTTTTGGAAACGAATATTTAATACTTGCTGTTTTAGGGCTAATACTTGAAAAGTTATTGTTTTGTGGACGAATATTTAATTGTTCTTGTTGGACTATTACTTGAATAGTTGCTATTTTGGGGATTTATACTTGAATGGATATTTTTATGAGGGCTAATATCCGAATAATGTTGTTTTTGGGGGCTAATATCCAAATGTTGCTTTGGGGGCTAATATCCAATAGTTGACCTTTTTTTTGTTATCTCGTAATTAGTTTTAGTTTGAGTTACTATCACCTGAATGCATGTCATTATATCTGGCTGCAAGCGAAGAGTTGTTACTGTATCTTGCAGGATGAGGACCTGATTGGTTGTGTATCACATTCTGAACTACGAAATTTGAGTCAACCTCTTCTGACTCTTATTGTCGTTACTTATTTATTATTATTATTATTATTATTATTATTTTAACACGTCAGTCGTCTCCCACCGAAGCAGGGTGGCCCCAAAAAGAAACACTTTCACCATCATTCAACACTTTCATTCACAAATAATCACTGTCTTTGCAGATGGGCCCAGATATAACAGTTTAGATCTGTGCTCCAGTTCCCCGAATTAAGCCTGAATGCCTTCCACATCCCCCCCAGGCGTTGTATAATCCTCCGGGTTTAGCACTTCCCCCTTGATTATAATAATAATAATCCAAACAGCCAATATCCCAAACTTCTCCTATAGAGTGCAGGTATTCAACTTTCCATCTCAAGGACTCAAGTCTGCTTAACCGGTTTCCCTGAATCCCTTCACAAAATATTATCCTCCTCATCCCTAAACACGTATGAGTCATCTAGCTATGGACACTGGACGTGATCACAAAGTACCTGGCTCGTGCGAAACAAGGACGAGATTGGAGAAGAACGGAGGATCAAGCCTCCACCACTCCATGTTAAGAATGACACACACACGCAGTAGATACAAATAAGAGGAGAAACGGTATATACAATTAAGAGGAAAGAGGAGTAGATATAATTAAGAGGAGAGGGGAGCTATAATGAAAGAGATATAATAAAGAGAGAGAGGAGAAGGAAATGCAGATCTGAAGTGCTGAAAGTACACTTGTCAGAGAAGTTAACAGATTTTTACCTAAGACACACTCTGCGATT